ATAATTATCTTTGATTCCAAGATATCAATTTTTGACTCGTAACTACACCAAACAAGGTTAGAGGCCAAATTCTATATCCAAAATTCCAATTTGAATAAACAAAATGTTAATAGCGTAAGAAAAAACAGCAATGGCCTTTGATAAACATCTGAATATAGTCAGGTTTATTCACTAAAATATAATTTTAGGTTACAGATTGAAAATGAAAAGATATCAAAACTTACAATTGTAGACCCTTCTACTCTATTCAACAATTCAAGTTACAATGAAAAATATTTAAAAGTATATGAACAAATTTGAAGTATAGAACAAATAAAAATCAAAACATACTTAGTTTAAATTCTGAATAACAAGTTTTAATTTCACACAGTATAAATGTAACACAGGTATTGATAATTTTTTGTAGGACACCCAATGAAAACCCAAAATATCAAATTAGAACCAATTTCATGGAAAAACGTACCTAAAATTCCCAAAATACCGAATAATGGGTATAACGTAATATGGGGGCTACGGGTCAATATTGATACTTTTTGGTAGGGATATTTATACCCAAGCAGAGTCTCAAATATAAAATTACAGCCAATTCGTTTGAAAATCTACCAAAATTTCGTATATTGGGGATAACCTTATATGGGCGGTAACCTAAAAAGTAGACTGATATTGATATTTTTTGTTGGAAAGTGTGCTACCTCCTAAGTACCTAAAATAACAAGTTACAGTCAGTCAATTTGGCTGAAAATTCTCAATATAAAAAGTGGACTTGGAGTCTTTACATGATCTTAAAGCCAGTGACATGTGATGAATTGGACTTAGCGCCTTTACTCATCAATACAAAACAAAAACCAGTGAGCGGAGCAGTATAGTCGGACGGGGCCGACCATACGATACACTCCACAATTACGACGGAGTTCTAATTTTCTGCGGATGTTTATTCCGAGAGGTCAGCAGCGCCTCTTCCATACCCTGACATATTTCCGAATATTTCTAATATTCAGTATAGCCCTTCACCGTGGGTTGTATGAGGATGTTCGGCTTATAACTGTGGCCTATAGATCGATTCGAAAAATACAAAAAAAAAAAATAAAGTTTTCGGTCCACTTCATCCCAAAATGATTATCTGATCATCACCGAAAATTGTAGGCGCTGTCCTTAACCATAACTGGAACCTCATGAAAATTTTCAAACCGATCAGCGCTATATTTCCGCCCTATAGTGTGATAATGGGTTACTTAATAATATTTGAATACGTAAGCACCTGTAAATATTTACGTGTAACACCCACATCCGACCACATACGACAATATAATTGGTATCAATTTAAAGGTAAACTACTCCTCTTGGATATATTATCAACTTCTCGGGTCTACGTCCTTTAGGTGTAAATATATACGCCATAGAATACAAATTTTAGCATTTTTCACACAAAAGTCAGGCTCCATTTGACCCGCTAAATATTGACCGATCTTTATCAAAACAGGCATGATCATTCTTTGGCCCGATCCCCTTCTCCATGTAAAAATTGGCGATGTTTGGGCTATTATTGCGGCCTCTGGAGCGACCAGAAAAACCGAAAAAAATTTAGTATTTGGTCCTTTCATCTCCTAAATATTTACCGATCTTCACCAAAAACAATAGGGATCTTCATTGGACAGAACCCATCATACATGCAATATTTTGTGAAGATTGGTCCATAACTGTGGCCTGTATTGTGTTTACAAATTATAATGGACAGCCGGATGGACGGACGGACACACATGTCTAGATCGACAAAAATTTAGTATTTGGTCCTTTCATCCCCTAAATATTTACCGATCTTCACCAAAAACAATAGGGATCTTCATTGGACAGAACCCATCATACATGCAATATTGTGTGAAGATTGGTCCATAGCTGTGGCCTGTATTGTGTTTACAAATTATAATGGACAGCCGGATGGACGGACGGACACACATGTCTAGATCGACTCAGCTAGTCGAGATATGACGATCGGTATATCTAATGGTGGGTCTAGCACCAATATTTCGCGGCGTTACAAACTGTTGGGGCTGCATAAAACTATAATACCCTGACAACATAGTTGTATAGGGTATAATAACAACTGAGATGACTGTATTTTTATTTTTTAGATCGATGTAGTCTGTAGTCATTGGTCCACTTTAAAGCGAAGCCCTCATAAACACGTTTTACAATCGCATTGGCTTTAATTTGATATTTTAAATTGAGTAAAAAATATTACGGGGTAGCTGGTTAACGACAGCACTGTAATTTCACATTGCGGGATTTTGGAGGTTACCATACGAGTACATATATAAAGACAATTATCAATCAATTTCAATCAGACACCCGTTCGAAATACATATTGAAGCTATGGCTTCATCTGCACCAATTTCAACGCTGTGCAAAATTGCACAACATAAAATCGGACGAAAATATATATATGGGAGCTACATATATCGAAATCTGAACCCATTTTCTCGAAACTCACCACCCATCATTCTAGACTCAATTCAGTACGCTATGCCAAATTTCGTGCAAATCGAAGGATTAATAGGGACTTTGGTGCACCATTTACATTAAATCGGACGAAAATATATATGGGAGCTATATTTAAATCCGAACCGATTTTCACGAAAATAAACACACGTCTTTCTAGACTTAATTCATTACTCTATGCACAAATTGCATGCAAATCAAAGGATTAATAGGGATTTTGGTACACTATTTACCTAAAATCGGACGAAAATATATATGGAAGCTATATCTACATCTGAACCGATTTTTCCCAAATCTAATCCAAAAATGCGACTTGTACTATGTTTACAATTTAACATAGACAGACGGACGGACGGACGGACATGCATACATCGACTTTAAAAGTGATTAATATATACGTGAGAAACGTCGGAAACCTATCCAAAACCATTTTGTTTTTGACAAAATAGCTATTTCCATCAATTAATTTGGAAATTACGTATGGTTTACTCAAATCCATATAAAATTTCAAAATTTCCTTTTCCAAAAAGTTTAGAATTTTTTATCAGTTCTATTAAGGAATAGTTAGATATATGTAAAAATAATATATATTCCTGAAAATAACTGTAATAATAATATTGAAATAAATGACGTTTACTACAAATATTACATTTTATACAGGCAAAATCGTCACACGGACCATCCCTGATATTCTCAAAAGGAACCATGTGTCTATTTCGTTTCCTTTTGCCTGACACAAACATAGGACATAATACCCTGTACCATAGTATGGTGAAGGGTATAAAAATATATGTTTTCCGGAATTTTTCTATTTTGGTCCTGTTCGGTTAAGTGGTTATAACTTGGCATTCGGGATTCCCGGTGGATTAAAAGCTTATTTTCAGAAAATTCCAACATAATTAATGTTCATGATTTTTACAACGATCTCATCCAAACAATCTACTAGCAGACAATGTCATAGTCTCGATACAAGCTTACAAATGTACTGTTCCTTTTTTAAAATTGGAAAATCAAATTCATCGCGTGAAACATAGGGAAATTTCAATGCGTCAATATGAAATTAAAAAACGGGAAAATTTGTTGGAATGAAACTGAAACTATAAAGAATTACTGAAAAATAAAAAAATGCTAAAAAAAGTGCTAGGTGCTAGATCACTTTTTTTGGTGCTAAACGAGTTTAAAAAGTGCTAAATCTAGCACTAAAAGTGCTAAATCTAGCACTAAAAGTGCTAAATTGGCAACACTGATGTTGTTTAACGTTCCGGACAAAATAATATATAATACGAACTGGCGGGTACGGTTCAGTCAAAAACACACAATTTCACAAAAAATGTTAAATATAGCGCATTAAAATCTGTGAATCAATAAGGAGCCATGGATGATGGTTCTTGATTGACCGTATTGAAATATGTGTAGATTTACTTATTTTTGAGGATATCGGAGACAATAATACTAAATTCCGTACAATGTAAGTGTAATATGAGTCTGCTCGATAGACATCAAACAGAATGGTATGTATATGGAAGTGGGTTCATTTAAAAAAATATATAAATTACGTATTTAATTTTGTCAGTTATCTTCAAACAACTAAAACATTTGTTCAGATTGGTTTAAATCGGTATATATGTACATATTTTGATGTAGGTTACAATAAGAATTTAAGGAACATATCTTGCATATAACCAAATTTTACATTAATAGGTATATACATTTATAGCTTCTATATATATTAATAAAATTGTGCACAAAATATTATATATATTTTCTTTGAACGCGAAATTTTGCATGTGTATACAATTTGATATTATTATTAAAAGTTCGATCGATTTCCGTGCAATAGTGCTTTAAAGATGCACTGATTGACAGAATGTCTTGCACTTCAATGACCAGCACCTTTTTTATATACTCAACTTTAGGATATCTTGTAGTCTACCTACCGACTGTGACTCTTTTTAACTGGATGTTCGCAATGGTGGCATACAAAATGAAAACAATTAATATAAAATTTCTTTCATATTATTTTTATTTTAAAATTGTTCAGTTAGATTTTCACTCAGAACTGATTTTTTGCAAATCAATTTACAACACAAATGTCTTCTTATCTGCTAAGACAAACGTTTTTAATATAAAATAACTATATAGATTTTTCTCGCTATGGAGAGAAAGAAGAAGCACCAACTATTTACTTAAAATTATCTACATTTATAAATAATGATGTGTGTATGTATGTATGTTTGTGTAATGTACACGGTGAACGAATAATGAAATATTTAAACTAATGGCGATAGCAAACATTTAGTTTTTTTTTATAAATCCATGCGGCAACTGCGTGATTCTTAGACTTTGGTCCACATTTTTGCAAACACCTTGACATTGGATTTACATTTGTTAGATTTGCACTCCGATTTTATGAGATAATGAAATATTTGGTTTGAGAATTTTGAATCCTCAATATCACACAGGAATAATAACGAACTTATATGGTAACTTCTCACTTCTCAGCGGGCTGGTGCTAAACTTCAGGTTTGGTCCATTGGAATTTTTGATCGTAATATTGTTTGTTGCGCAGATTGGAAGGCATTTTCTGGGCAGGATCAAATTCACAGGTTTTATTGTATTTTACCAAACGGCCGGAACCATCGGTTGAGGTACGCCAGTAGGATGTTTGTGTGGCATTGCGTCCAGCAATGTAACGGGTGGTGGCACCCACTAAGGTATTGACTTTATTAGCTCCACTCATGATTGCTGGCTGATTGATTGTATTGTCCTTTAATGGAATTTCACAAAAAATATTTTTCTTTTTGTCTGGGAACTTTATTCACTTTGCTTCTGTCTTGTGTTGTGGTTACTGCCAGTCTGTGCTTTCATTCAACAATTGTGGGTCATTTATAAACGTATTTTTTTAATCGTTCACTCTCGCATTTACTCACACCCTTGAATGTGTTGATTTTTTGCGGGTACTACTAAACAAGTACGCCGTAGACACTGATTGGACTGTGTGTATAATATCGGTAATCAGTCTCTAGGTTCGTGTTCTAGCTCTAGTTTGTTTTTGTTTGGATTTTTTTGTGTGATGGAACAAGCCACCGGTGGGGTGTTACCATGGCGGGGGGTTTGTTTTTGTATTTTTCCGTTTTGTTGTTCATTCTGTTTTTAAAATTCTTATCAGCTATTTTTTTTTTTTTTTTGTAAAGCATTAACGGAATATTATCTGATATCTTCTTCATCGTGGTGGTGTATACATATGGGTATTTGAAGTTTAAGTAAATATTATTGCGGGGGATATGGATCTGAATACTAGAGGTAATATTCCTATGTGGCGCTTTAAAGAAAATTGAGATATATATGAATGTATGTTTATTGTCACGTACATAAACAATAAATTAGGTGTCATACAGTTCAATTTCTTAGTTGGAAAATATTTTTAAGAGACTCATTTATAAAAAAAAATCTATAACAGAACGGATGTTGTACTTGAAATATACCATAAATGCGTAATGGAGAATATTTTCCCTATGCGATGGAAAAAACAAAAACTTTTTTAAGAGCGACTGCGCAACACCATCCTCATACACGTCAATATACGTGCTGGACACAGATGGCAAACTTATTGAACGGCTAATTAAACCGAGACTCAGTGGATCCCTTCGCGCAGAAGAGGGTCTTTAAAAAACAATAAGGGTTTTCCTCAGCAAATCTACAATCGGGGACCTTACAAAAGAGGTAGACAATAGTAGAGTAGTGAACTTAAGTTGAGTTTAGGAGCTCATTTAGATTTTTTACCACTTGCAGGTCTCGTCACCCTGCACACGAAAATATACAACATTTATATATGCCAGATTGTTGTTTTCTGTTTTACGTGAATTAATAACACTGTGCGACACATAATTTTTCAATTAAACTGATATATATATATATATACATATATATATATATATATATATATAAAATTATATTATAAAATTAATTTTCCAGGTCCAAAAACCCAAAGGTATTGGCAGCCCAACTAAACAGAATTGGTACATTAGAACCCCTGAAAAAAACAATTTTTGTTATTTTGTAGCACAGTGTAATTAATTAAACGAAGCTCAAGAAGCGGACTGGTCTACACTAGAATAAGTTCTATTTCCAGGTCCAAATTCCGATTGGCAGCCCAGGGAAGGAGTTGGATATATATGAGTCCAAGGTCAGAAAGCGCAGAGGTCACTACGTTGAAGAGCAATGGGTTTTCAGTGGTATTGAATGGGAAAGAAATAAATCTTGTATTGTCCCCGTTGAAGATCATGCGAAAGAAACCCTTTTACACATCATTAAACAATATATTTGACCGAGAACTACGATTATTTCGGACTTTTGGAAGGTAATTGTGAAACATTTATAGTCTGGATTATAAAAAAATATATATTTTTTACACATTGAACCAGGAAGTATATATTCATCTCAAGATAAATAATTCGGAACACTTTGTTAACTTTGTTAGAGCGTTTTAGGTGTCATCTTAAGGAAACTCTTTCTGCATATAACCGTAGACTTTTTTTCAACTCTTATATACAGAAATTTACATTCTTAAGGTGGTGCAAAGCAAAGGGGAAGGATCCATTTGTAGAATTTCTCCGTTTAGCTGGCCAGCTGTATTATCCGGCAATAACTACAGTGGCTAGCTAACGGGAGGAATTCAAAATGAATTCATTCCGAATGATCTAGGAACTTCTGAGAAGCGAACCGAAAAATATTCAAACGCTGGTTGAAAGAAACTATTCAGCAAAAGGAAGATCGGTATTAAGTTCGGCTCATTCGTTAATTTAGTTACTTTTGTTGCAGTTCACGTAGTTTTTGCCTCAATCGTTCATCCGGAATATTCTCGTATGGAACTAAATTAATGAGTTAGTTTCTTTTGCACAGAGAACCGGACCGAAAAGGAACTAAAGAAAGGACATAGTTTCTTTTTGTGAAGTAAACCTGAAGATATTGAATCGATATTTCAAAGAAATTATTCTACAAAAGAAACTATCGGTACATGGTCCGTCTCTTTCATTTACCTAGTCCATTTGGCTTCCGTTCGGCTACTTCCTTTTGCTCTAGAGTTCAGCAACATAGTTCACGATGCGGACTGAACTTTCTTGTTCCTTTTTTTAAATATAGTTCCTTTGCTCCATATAATTCCGTCTCCTAGAAAGTTTCTTAGAATATCTCTCTATAATCGTTTTTATATCGTTTCGTTCACATTACTCCCACAGTTGGGAGACGGGTCTGTACATAAAAAGAAAGAAATAAGATCAGAAGATGGAACTATAGTAACTAAATAACTGAACCTATTTCCTATCGCTCCTTTATTGGAATAGTTCAAATGAACTAGTTCATTCCGGTACTACTCAAGTATAGATAGAAGTCCAAAAAAACAGCATTTCTTATTTTTCAAGAGATAGAAAATCTATTGACAAAAATAAATGACAGTGTTTTTATGGGTCTCATCTATTAAAAAAAGAAAAAATCTATTCCGCAAAAGAAACGATCAGTACTGGTCCCGGATCCTTTGTTAATCTAGTTCCTTTCTGCTCTAGTTCATTTTGCTTCAATCGGTCATGTAAATTCGTTTCGTATGGATTCGAATGATTGTCCAAGATTCCAAACAATTGAAAGAATTTGAACCGCTTCAGGAACGAAATTGAACAAAATTAATAACCTAGTTTCTATGGCATAGTAAACTGGAAGAGATTGAACCGCTTCAGCAACATGATGGGAAACTGGAAGCCTCTATGGAATATAGTTATGAGCTATGATATTTTATTATTTGTTTTTCCTCTTGAAACACATCGACATATTCTCCGTCGATTGTACATCTGGCTGATATTAACAGACTGATATGAAATTTTGCCCCTTTATTGCTACTACTTCTAGATATATTCCAATATTTAAGTTGTTATGATTTGCTGCACGCTTATTAACCAAATAGGCAGTAATTTGATATTTTGGTTTCTCATTGGGTATCAAATACACCTACTAAAAATGATCCATATCGGTCCACATTTTGGTTTAGGCCACAAAAAACATTTGATGTTTTCGGGATTCCTGAGTCATTTTCTGTATTTTGAAGGCCCTAACCCACATTTACAACCTGATCTTTAATTTGATATTTCGTTTTCTCCTGGCAGCAATTAATTACAGAAAAGCCCCCATATATCGATGTGCCGATAGATTTTAGGTATTTTGAATGTCCATCTGAGGAGTGAAGTGTAAATAAAGTTCGGCCCGGCTGAACATAACGACTATTTTACATGTTTTATTAGCATTTTCGTCCCACACATAAATAGATGATAGTAGAAATGACCATGAACAAATTCCCGATGACTAGTCTGGAGTCGAGTAAACTTGACTTTGGACTTGGGCACCAATGATGCAACAATCGGGGAAAAACAACTACAAAGAAATAAAGTTTATTACGTTTCCTCGACTATTTCACAATTTTACAACAACAAAAATCCACGTATTGCCTCTGACGTAAAACAGAATAATCTAAATATTTCGAAAACATCACATATTTATGCAGTCTTAAAGACACAGCGATAGCTTTCGGGCGTCCATCCCACTGGTCAACGGTCCAAAATACAAAACAAATATATATTATAATTCGAAAAAAAAACAAAAAAATCAAAATTATCACGAGACAAGTAAATACAAATGAATGATGTAAATCACATCTGTCTGCGGAATGATGAAGCACCATTTTATAGTTTGAATTTTCCATACTGTGATTTTCATAATCATTTTAAACCCACCTCGCATCAGTTTATTGTTCCCAAGCGATTTTGTCTAAATTGCAAATTTCTCAAAAACAAAATTTCATAATAAAAACAAAATTTTTGTTGGAAATAAAATCTGCCTTGGCAACTAAATTGAAAATATTTTTTCTTAAAAATTGTCTAAAAATTAGACAAACAATTATTTTGGTGAAATAGAACACTGCTGTGTCGTCAGCTGTCATCGAATTTGATAGCGTTTTGAAATTGTCTTTATTTGTTAGTACATTTGTAGATACGGTTTAAACCAGATTTGTCTAATCAAGCCAATCTTGGAAATCACCTAAATTATTTTCCGCTGCCAATGAATCAGAAGAGACTAGAAAGTATTAATATAATGGTTTCTGTACCCTTACCCAGAAGATGTGGGTTATATTCATTTTATTATTTTGTTTGTAACATTTCGAAATATTTGCCGGATATTCTATAAAAAATCAGGTTAATTGAAAATAGCACGAAATACCATAATAAAACACATCTTTCGGACAAATTCAGCGGACTGACTGCCATGGACTATTAAATTCAGTATTGGGATCTCAAAATGATAATAATTGATTCCTTGACTCCTAACTTGAAATTTGATATCTTAACGCTTGACGTCGATACGACCTTCATCCTATGGCTGTCAAATATGATACAAAAATATTCTACTGCCGAGAAAAGTTCGCTGAATTCGCCACATTGCAATGTGTATTAAGTAAACACTGAATTTTGCTCATATCGTAATTACTCTCGCCAAGATGAGCTCTTTTTTACAAATATTGATTAGTTTGAATTACCGCTTACCCAGCTCAATAATTTTACGTTACTTTCTCAACCGACTCGTACAGGAATAATTCATCAAGTTAAAACCAGCACTGTTGGGATATTTCCAGCGGAATCTTAGCAACAAAACTTATAATAAAACTACAATTCTTACTGACTTACCTGCATCGGCAGTAGCCGATAAGTCATTGCTTGATAGGCAAGTAGCCACATGGGGTAAAGCAGAGACTTGGTAAAACCCGCTACCATCTGCAGTGCAAAGTAAGGCACTGGACAGGAAGGCATATCTACAATTGTCAAAAATATATCCACCTGAATCCCTGCAAAATCAGCAAAGAAATAATTATTTTTAATTAGGATGTACGTACGAGACGATAATCAAAATGACATTAGGGAACTTCTAATTGAATGAATTCCTATATCACTTAGTATGACTCTACCAATGAATTAAACAAAAAGCGTCAGAATGCAGGTAAAGTGCTTGCCCAAACCACATCGACTTCATTGGAAGTTGTTTCTGAAAAAAAAACAACGCCTCTTCCAAGCCCTTGAGAATGATGAGGACGAGGCTTACAAAGGAACAGTTCAACCTTCTGTCTTTATGGCTTCGGTAGCAGTTAAAAAGAATAGTGGGATTTCTACAACTGGGGAGACGAAATTCGGACCAATTGACAAATCTTGGCAAGAACCTACGAGGTGACAACTCGACAATAATAGGTGTGGATTTTTCAAAATATTTTTAAAGACCATCAATTTTCGTGGAGTTTTATAAAAATATGTTTTCAAAGATCTACCCAGTGCATTTCTAAAAAAAATATTCATAGATCTACCCAAGGCCTGGATTTCTAAAATTTTTGTTGAGGAACATCAATAGTCGTAGTCTTTTATACCCTACACAACTATGTTGTCAGGGTATCATAGCTTTGTGTGGCATCAAGAGTTTGGAACGCCGCAAAATATTAGACCTAGACCCACCTTTTAGTATACCGATCCTCATATCTCGACTAGCGCAGTCGACCTAGATATGCAGGCCACAGTTATGGACCAATCGTCACGAAATTTTGCATATAAGACGAGTGGGTCTATGTATTCGTACATTGTTTCTAGTATTACCGTTACCACGCTAGAGTGCGAAAATGATGGATGGCTAGAAAATGCTACATGAGATTCAGGTTATGGTCGAGGATGACGGATATAATTTTCGATGATGATTCAAGTCCTTAAAAATATATTTTTAAGAATCTACCTAAGAACTTTATTTCTTATATATATATATATATATATATAAGAGCTTAGTGTTAAGTGAGTGAATGACTGACAGATCATCGCCCAGACGAAGCGGCTGAAGCTAGAAGCCTGAAATTTTGAAAAGTACTAAAATGTACTAAATATGGTACGCAAACGGGAAGAGCTAGAATTCTGAAATTTGGAATGTGGGTCACTGATGGAAAGTTAGAAAGGTGTACAATACGGTTTTTGAAAATTCGTCCTATAAGTTTAGGAAAAGTACTAAACTTTACTAAATTTAGTTCTATTTGTATATATATTGAACATATATAGCTAAAATCTTTAAATTTTATATGGAATACAGGTTGGGAAGTGGCGTTGATATATAAAAATGGTTTAAGAAATCCGTACTTATGTATGAAAAGTACTAAATGGTACTATTTACATTCAGTTGAGAGTAGGAATTAGGACTACTATTGAGGTAGCCTTAAAAATTGAGCTTATGTGTACGAACTGTACTAAATGGTACTAAATTTGGTGCAAGTTGCATTTAGGTGAATATACAGAGCTAGAATTTTCAAATGGGGAATTAAATTGACTGTTGGAGTGTTGTATTGAGGTAGTATAGGAAATTCGTACTTATTACTACGAAAAGCACTATGGTACCAAATTTAGTACAATTTGGATTTTGCTTTAAAGGATAGAGCTGAGAACCTTAAATTTGGAATTAAGATTACTATTAAAGATCTTTGGAAATTCGTATTTACGTGTACAAAAAGTACTAAACGACACTAGATTTCGTACAATTTGGATTTGGGTGAACGGAAAGAGCTGGAAACCTAAAATTTGGAATAATGGTTGCTGTTGGAATTTAGAATTGAGACATGGAAGCATAGTACTTATGTGTACTAAATGGAACTATATTTGGTACAACTTGATTATGTGTGAACGGATAGAACTGGACTCCAGAATTTGGGAATTAAAATTACTGTTCGAGTGTTAAAGTAGAATTGGAATTTCGTACTTATGGATACGAGGAGAACTAAATGGTACTAAATATGGTACAATTCGTTTTGTGTGAGCGGGAATCCTAAAATTTGAAATTAAAATTAAGGTTGGAGTGTAGGATGACCAATGGAGGTATTTTTGAAAATACGTAATTATGTATACTAAATTGTACTAAGTACAATTTAGATTTGAGTGAAAGTATAGAAATGGAACACTTATATTTGAAAATAAAGTTACCGTTATAGCACAGGATTGAGACAGTGTTGAAAATTCGAACTTATAATTACTAAATGGTACTAAATATGGTAAAATTTGGGTCTATTTGAACGGGATCCTGTAACTTATGATTAAAATTGCTGTTGCAGTGTGGAATTGAGGAAGTTTTAGAAACTCGTACTTCGGTAAAGTAATAAATGGTACTAAATTTAGTACAATTTGGATTTTGGTGAACGGATAGAGTTAGTCTTTAAATGTGGACTTTAGGGTATTATTGGAGTGCATGACTGAGGTAGTTTTGGAATTTTGTTCTTATGGGTAAGAAAAAAAACTAAATTTGGTACAATTTGGATTTGGGTGAATAGATAGAGCTGGAATCCTGAGATTTGGAATGTAGATTATTATTTAAGTGTAGGGTTGAGCTATGGAAATTCAAGTTTATGTGTACGAATAGTACTAAAAGCACTAATTTTGGAACAATTTTCATTTGGGAAACAGAGAGAAAGTATACTAAATGTGGTACAATTTAGTGTACAGACAGAGCTGGAGTTCTTAAATTTGAGGTTGGCTTGAAATATGGGTACGAAAAGTACTGAATGGTATAATTTGGTTTTTAATGAACAGACAGAGTTGGAATTCTTAAATGTGGAGGTTGAGGTACATTTGGAAATTTATACGAAAAGCACTAAATTTGGTAGAGTTTGAACTTGGGTGGAATTAAGATTACTGTTTGAGTGTAGGATTGATATATTTATAGAAGTTTGTACTTATGAGTATGAAAAGTACTAAATGGTACTAAATTTGGAACAATTTAGATTTGGTTGAATCCTTAGATTTGGAATTTAGATTACTGTTGAAGTGTAGTATTGAGCTATGGAGACAACATTGGAAACTCGAATTAATGTGTACGAATAGTAAATAGAATAGTAAATGCATTAAATTTGGATTTGCGTAACGGAGAGAGCTGGAACCTAAAATTTATAGGTGGGTCACTAACGTAGCGTTAAAAAGAAGTACCAAAGGGTACTAACTGTACTAAATTTAGAGATTTCGGAAAATAGTGCTTATGTGTATGAAGAGTAATAAATGGTAATAAACTTGATATTAGATGTAGGAATAGAGGTGGAATTCCGAACTATAGTACAACAAATTATACAGTATTCACGATTTCCATATGAAATATTATTATTATTCTTTAATGTGATTATTTATATTCTTTCGAGTCGAGGTTAACGATCTAAGTTTTGCAATGAAAAGGAAAGCCAGGAGAAGAACCTACGTACCCACCATTATGCGAGTTTCCTGTACAACATCTATTAAGCTGAACCATGTTTGATTGTATTCTTCGCTAAATATATAAAGTTGAAGCTACCACCACTCTCCGCTCTATTTAGTTCTGTAATATTATAACACGCGATTTTAACATTTCTCTATTACAAATTGTGTACACTAATGGTGTATTAACGAGTACTTCGAGAATGTCATCATAGCTGATAACAATTTTCTTTTATCTATATATATAAAAGAGTTGCGTTATAAGTGACTGACTGATCATCAACGCCCAGACGAAACGGCTAAAGCTAGAAACTTGAAATTTGGCATGTAGGTTGGGTTTGGTGGGGAGGCGTGTGATAAGGCGGGGTTTTTGGAAATTCGTACTAAAAGGTACTAAAAAGTACTAAAAACTGCTTTACGGCGGAACGGTTAGAATTAGAACTTTGAAATTTGGCACGTAGCTTTGTCTATGACGAGCGAAGTGGTATTTATGAAAAAAATTTGGAATTTAGTACTAAGAGGTACTAAAAAGTACTAAACATTGTATTTTAATGGAATTTGTAGATATACATATCTGAAATTTGGTATGTAGCTTAGGCTATTACAAATAGAAATAAGTGCAAAAATATTTTTTGGAAATTAGTACAAAAAAAGTACTAATACTGTATTACGCCGGAAAGGTTAGATGTAGAACTCTGAAATTTGGTATGCAGCTTTGCCTACGATAAGCGAAGTGGTATGTGTGAAAAAATTTTGGAATTTAGTACTAAGAGGTACTAAAAAGTATTAAATATTATATTTAAATGGAATCGGTAGAGATACATATTGAAATTTTGTATGTAGCTTAAGCTATGAAAACAAGAACGACGGGCACAAATATTTGTTGCAAATTAGTACTAAAATGGTTCCAAAAAAGTACTAAAACTGTATTTCGCCGGAACTGTTGGAAGTAGATCTTTGAAATTTGGTATACAGCTTTGTCAATAATAATCCAAAGGGCATGTGTGAAAAAGTTGGAATTTAGTACTAAGAGGTACTAAATATTATATTTGAATGAAACCAGTAGAGATAATTATCTGAAAATTGATATGAAACTTAAGCTGTTACATATAAAATGCTGTAAAAAAATATCTTTTGGAAATTAGTATTGAAATGGTACTAAAAAGAACTAAAAATATATTACACCGGAACAGTTGGAAGTAGAACTCTGAAATTTTGTATGCAGCTGTGTCAATGATAGGCGAAGGGGAATCCGTGAACTTAATGTACTAAAAAGTACTAAACATGGTATGTAACTTAAGCTATTGCAAATAGACGGATGGGCAAAAATATCTTTTAGAAATGAATACTAATGTACTAAAAAGTTTTGAATATTATATTACAATAGAACCGATAGAGATATGAATTAGCTTTTACTATTACAAATTAGTACTTAGGAGGTGATAAAAAGTACTGAATAAAAAATACAATGGAACCGTTAGAAATAGAAATCTCAAACGTGGTATGTTGATTTAACTATTACAAATACTTTGCTGTGCATAATTTTTTGAAATTAGTAC